TTCTGATTCTTCATGTAGAGTTTTTCTGTAAATCGTCGTCTCCTGAAAACGGAGCAAAAGCACAAAGTGATTGTACAAATATTGTGAATGTTTGTATATTATAGAGGAAATTTAGTAAGAAATAAAAACACTTTAAACAGGAACTAAGTGTGAACCGGACTCTTCACTTCACACGCTGAAAAAAAGACCGAGTCACACGTCCTCATGTGACTGGGACTTTACGGAGTTTTTTCTTTTGTGGAACTCTGAGGTCTGTCACATTCTAGGGTCAGTTACACTCTAGGGTCAATCACAGTCACACTCTAGGGTCAGTCACACTCTAGGGTCAGTCACACTCTAGGGTCAGTCACAGTCACACTCTAGGGTCAGTCACGCTCTAGGGTCAGTCACGCTCTAGGGTCAGTCACACTCTAGGATCAGTCACACTCTGGGGTCAGTCACACTCTAGGGTCAGTCACACTCTAGGATCAGTCACACTCTGGGGTCAGTCACACAAACTCTAGGGTCAGTCACACAAACTCTAGGGTCAGTCACACTCTAGGGTCAGTCACACTCTGGGGACAGTCACACAAACTCTAGGGTCAGTCACACAAACTCTGGGGTCAGTCACACTCTGGGATCAGTCACACTCTAGGATCAGTCACACTCTGGGGTCAGTCACACAAACTAGGGTCAGTCACACTCTAGGGTCAGTCACACAAACTAGGGTCAGTCACACTCTAGGGTCAGTCACACTCTAGGGTCAACCACAGTCACACTCTAGGGTCAATCACAGTCACACTCTAGGGTCAGTCACACTCTAGGATCAGTCACACTCTGGGTCAGTCACACTCTAGGGTCAGTCACACTCTAGGGTCAGTCACACTCTAGGATCAGTCACACTCTGGGGTCAGTCACACAAACTCTAGGGTCAGTCACACAAACTCTAGGGTCAGTCACACAAACTCTAGGGTCAGTCACACTCTAGAGTCAGTCACACTCTGGGGTCAGTCACACTCTGGGGTCAGTCACACAAACTCTAGGGTCAGTCACACAAACTCTAGGGTCAGTCACACTCTGGGATCAAGTCACACTCTAGGCAGTCACACTATGGGGGTCAGTCACACTCTAGGGTCAGTCACACTCTAGGGTCAGTCACACAAACTAGGGTCAGTCACACTCAGGTCAGTCACACTCTAGGGTCAGTCTAGGGTCAGTCACACTCTAGGGTCAGTCACACTCTAGGGTCAGTCACACTCTGGGGTCAGTCACACTCTGGGGACAGTCACACAAACTCTAGGGTCAGTCACACAAACTCTGGGGTCAGTCACACTCTGGGGTAAGTCACACTCTAGGGTCAGTAACACTCTGGGGTCAGTCACACAAACTCTGAGGTCTGTCACACTCTGGGGTCAGTCACACTCTGGGATCAGTCACACTGTAGGATCAGTCACACTCTAGGGTCAGTCACACTCTGGGGTCAGTCACACTCTAGGATCAGTCACACTCTGGGGTCAGATAATACTCCTTACAACTGTACAACAACTTATCCTTATGTCACAGATAATACTCCCTACGACTGTACAACTCACCCTCATGACTTCTTGTTTAAAGTTGTGATTTTTTTTATTTAATTACTTATTTAATTTAATTTTTTGACTTGTCACGGGTTCGTCTGAAATAAAAACGACGCGGCTCAGTCGAAAAAAACTTGACTCAAGTGTGTTTTTATTCCCACCAGAGCCCAACAGCCGAGCGGAACATTTACACCGGAAATGATGAAGTAGAATCCAAAAAAAACCCCAAAAAAACAAAAGTATTTACAACAATATTTACAGTAATCACACGTCCAGGCTCCAGCACCTCCTTCTATAAGCTCCTCCTCATATACCCCTTAGCCCCGCCCCCTGGACTAAACCAACAAAACATGGGGTTTTAAGAAATGAACATAAACAAAACTGTACTGATGAACACAAATCAACTTGGAAATAAACAGAATAAAAATGACTTAAAGAACTCCTCATCTGGTTATCATCAATTCAATTAAAAACAAAATAAACACACAAATAGAGCGCGATGGTCGAGTCCGAGATCACGTGACGACCTTCAGTGCGCCACTGTGAGATATTTGATATCTGTGAGAGAACGACGGCTGCAGGTAAAGAGTGTGTGGGGCGTCGGCGTCGAGTGTGAACCTTGGACCGCGGGACCCGTGAGCGGTTCTGGGGGAAACTGGTTCTGGTGGGCGCTCCGTCACATCGTTCCGTCACATCGTTCCGTCACATCGTTCCGTCACATCGTTCCGTCACATCGTTCCGTCACATCGTTCCGTCACATCGTTCCGTCACATCGTTCCGTCACATCGTTCCCCTCCTCCCCGAGGTTGGCGATGTGCGGCGACCTGGACAGACAGTCGGGCACAACGTTGGCCTTGGCAGCTCGATGACGGATCTGGACCTGTAACGGCTGGAGAGCGAGGTACCAGCGGGTGAGACGGCTGCTGGGATCTTTTGTAGAGTTCATCCAGGTCAGAGCGCGATGATCAGTCTCCAAGACGAACTCCCTCCCCAGCAGGAATCACCTCAGACTCTCCAGCGCCACTCGATGGCCAGGCCCTGCTTCTCCACCGTGGACCTGGTCTCACGTGGCGACAGTTTGCGGCTCAGGTAAAGAACGGGACGTTCTTCTCAAGGTTCACCCTGAGCCAAGACTGCCCCCAGTCCCACAGCGGAGGCATACTCGGTCGCAGACTCGGGTCGCAAACTCGGGTCACAGACTCGGTCGCAGACTCGGTCGCAGACTCGGGTCGCAAACTCGGGTCACAGACTCGGGTCACAGACTCGGTCGCAGACTCGGGTCGCAAACTCGGGTCACAGACTCAGGTCACAGACTCGGGTCACAGACTCGGGTCACAGACTCGGGTCACTCTGGCGCTCGGTGCGTAAAGACTAAAGTAAAAGTGTTAAAGTTTTGTTCATTAAACAAAAGTCTGGCTCCTTCTGCGTCCGAGGGAAGAGTTTAGTCTCAGGTCGGGTCATTATTTCGTCCTCTGTGTTGGTCAGTCTGTGTTTTATAAAGTCTGTGGTCTTGGTGTGGACTGTGGGAGACTCTGCGCTGCATCAGGAACGTGTCCGCGCTCGTGCACGAGTGTCAAATGTTTAATATTTTAGAGAATAATGGGTGGAATAAACAGCCCTTCTCTGTGTTTTGTTGAACCAAACACTTAAATGCACAAATCTGAAGGTCATTCTTTTATATACGTGGATTTTCTGATCAAACTCTTCCTCAAACTCTGTTCACTTCTGCTTCTCTCCACGAGTGTCGCTTTTTCCTCGTGTCTCCAGACTTTGTGTAGAGTTTACAGGAGTCCAGAGTTGGTGTAGAGTTAAACAAAGAGCCACAACTTAGTCGAGTTTCATAAATACCGCGGTTGATGTAGAGAGCGACGACTCAAGGATCTGTGCGTAAACCAGATTTATAAATGAGGCTCCTGAACCGGTCTCACTCTCAGCCGGGGCCTCTCTCTAGCGCCACCTCTGGCCCTGACCTGAAAGAACAGAACCACAAAACCAGGTCAGAAAACCAGGACTAAACCAGGACTAAACCAGGACTAAACCAGGACTAACCAGGACCAGGACTAAACAGAAAACTAAACAGGACTAAACCAGACTAAAACCAGGACTAAACCAGACTAAACCAGGACTAAACCAGGACTAAACCAAGACTAAACCAGGACTAAACCAGGACTGAACCAGGACTAAACCAGGACTGAACCAGGACACTAAACCAGGACTAAACCAGGACTAAACCAACTAAACCAGGACTAAAACCAGGACTAAACCAGGACTAAACCAGGACTGAACCAGGACTAAACCAGGACTGACTAAACCAGGACCAGACTAAACCAAGACTAAACCAGGACTAAACCAGGACTAAACCAGGACTAAACCAGGACTAAACCAGGACTAAACCAGGACTGAACCAGGACTGAACCAGGACTGACTAACCAGGACTAAACCAGGACTAAACCAGGACTAAACCAGGACTGAACCAGGACTAAACCAGGACTAAACCAGGACTGAACCAGGACTAACAGGACAGGACTAAACCAAGACTAAACCAGGACTAAACCAGGACTAAACCAAGACTAAACCAAGACTAAACCAGGACTAAACCAAGACTAAACCAGGACTAAACCAGGACTAAACCAAGACTAAACCAGGACTAAACCAGGACTGAACCAGGACTAAACCAGGACTAAACCAGGACTGAATCAGGACTGAACCTGGTCTAGAGTCAGTACCTTGCAGTAGTAGTAGGACATTGGGAGGATGTACAGGAGCTTCAACAGAAGAATCACCACGACTCTGATGATCAGGTCTGAGTCTGACTCTGCAACACAAAAGAACCAAGATCAGACCAGGACCAAGACCAAGACCAAGAACAGGACCCTCCCCTGAGTCTGTAGCCGTACCTCCCACAGAGAGCTGGAGTGTGTGGCTCTGAGAGAAGTTGTGGTCAAACACCTGCAGGAGGTAAACACAGGTGTAGTTTCCTTTGTGGGCGTGGTCAGCGTCAGAGAACAGGAAGTGGGCGGAGTGATTGACGGCGGGCAGGGTGCGGTTCTGAGCGGGGGGCGCGGCGGGAGAGAGGAGCCGGAAGGAGCCTCCCGGGTACTGTGGAGCATTTGACCCTGAACTTTGAGCCCAGCTGCACCCGCACCCCCTGAGGCTGGAGCTCGGACGCCCCGTCACTCACAGACACGGAGATGATTGGACGATTCAGGAGCTCTGTGGAGACACGTGATTGGACACATCAGTCTGTGTGTGTGTGTGTGATCTAAACTCTGATTGGACGTCACACATTTTACACCTGACACTCGTCTGGAGCAACTAGAAAAAACATCTGAGACATAAAAATGTGAGATCAGAATTTTACCTGAACACACCACGTCCAGACCCCAGGAAGAGAAAGAAAGTGAACCATCGACACATCCTCTGACTGAAAACTTCTTCACACAGTCAGGTGAGACCTCCCACACACGACTCTCCAGAAAATCACGTTTCTTTTTTCCATGAACAGCAGAGCCACAGTCCAGGTCTCTGCACACTGCAGATGTGTGATCCTGCTCCCAGCGTCCAAAAACCTCCAGTCGTCTCCACTCTCCTCTGTGTTTCACCTCCACAGTCCCAGCACAACGACTGGCTCCTCCCACCAACCTGAGCAGCTCTGAACAAGAGACAGAGTGAAGCCCCGCCCCTTTACCTGAGCACTGAAGCCCCGCCCCTTTACCTGAGCACTGAAGCCCCGCCCTTTACTGAGCACTGAAGCCGCCCCTTTACCTGAGCAGGTGAGGTTGACAGTGGCTCCAGAGGAGCAGGTCCTTGAGTTGGAGCGGGGACAGTCCATCAGAGCAGACTCATGTCCCTCACAGTGGAACGTCTGCCCCAGAGGAGAGAGCGCCCCCTGGAGGAGAGAAGGAGCCCCACAGTCCAGCTCCCTGCACAGCACCTCTGCCCCCCGCTGGTCCAAGTCCCCGTCACAGACCCCGGTCCAGGACCCGTCCCAGATCTGCACTGATCCTGAACACAGACCGGACCCCGAGACCAACCGCACCGACTCTGTGGACACACATGTGACATCATCATCACTCTGAACCAATAGGACGCACACATGTGTGACATCATCACTCTGAACCAATAGGACACACACATGTGTGACATCATCACTCTGAACCAATAGGACACACACATGTGTGACATCATCACTCTGAACCAATAGGACACACACATGTGTGACATCATCACTCTGAACCAATAGGACACACACATGTGTGACATCATCACTCTGAACCAATAGGACACACACATGTGTGACATCATGGTTGTAGTGTAGATTTATATCTGTGGTAAATCGATCAGTGGCGTTGGTCAGTAGGGGGCGCTCGTGCGCCGCACTCCGTAACTTGACCTAGATTAAAAATATATATAAAGTGTTTATTCTGTATTCGTCTGTTTCATATTTAGATTTTGATCCTGTTCATTTGCTCGTGTCACTTTATTTGGTTCATGTGTTTGTTCTTTGTGTTCTCTGAGTCGGAGACACTTCATGGAGTTCTGTGGAAGAGCCTGAAGTTTGGAGAAAATGTGACGTCATTACGATGCTTCTGCTCAT